ATCGATTAAAATTAGATTTTTTCCAATCTTTTTTTTATATGAGTGATAGTCTAAGTACTGACCATTCAATCTTTTTACTGATCATTTATATACTTTTTACTGATCATTTATATACTTTTTACTGACCATTTATCTTACTGACCATTTCATCTATTTTACTGATCATTTAATTTATTTTACTGACCGCTTAAATAGTAGCCATTTGCTAATACTTATGCCGTTTCAAAGAGTTGCTAACAACCTTTACGAATAGGTCATTTTGATCTAATATTACCGGGTCTTGTGATCGGTTGTTCACCAATGGAAGATCTACGTTTATCTACACTTCAATGTTTTTTCTCATCGAACTGTATCTCAACTATTATCAATTATTTAGAATACTACCTACAAATAGATGGATCACCATCAGTCAATTTCACATCTCCAATAACACCTCTTATCATTATTACACCTGTTTAATGCTTCATTGTCCTTACACTCTTTATCAACTACAACAATAGGTGATATTATTGATGAAATCTTTATAGAATAACTGATCCGAATTGTTAGCTACGAAAAATATTTTGCTAAATACGCACCCAGTACATGTCGCTACGAATATGTGAAACGAAACAGTATCTTGTATATTTTAACAACACTGTTTGATCTTTATGGTAGTCTAACTGTTAGCTTACGCCTGGTAATTTGGAATTCGTTAAGAATCTATTATAAGATCAAACACTGTTTTTATAATCGTAAAGCCATAATTCGACCTTTGGGGTAAATATATACCAATCATGTAACTTGACTTGCTTTAGATATTCAAGAGATTTAAATTTTTGCATCTTAAAATACATACAATTAAAACATAAGAAACTGATTTTTTTCTAGATTTGAGGTGAGCTGTGTTGGGTGTACTCTGAGTGCACACACGCACATCCACACTCAGAAGAAAGCATAGGAAATAAAGACCAGTTTTACAGAATTTCATCATGATCAGACTCTCTTTTTAAAATTTATCATGTAAACGGCTGGCAGACGAACCGATTCTAGAGTAATACTCACTTTTTGAGTACACAATAAAAGGAGAGCTCATGAATACTATGTATACGATTAAAAAATTCACTATTTTCTTCAAAATTAAGATTATCTCAATAAAAAATTGCAAAAGAGCGGATTGACATAAAAAGAGTGATTGCATATAATTTACTCATTAAGAAGTCTCTTCAAGTATTCATATGAGTTTTGAAATATCTTTATTATGCAGTTTTAATCATTAAATCCAAAATCAAATCATTAAACATTTTATTCCTGAAGATGAAATTCATTCAAATAAAACACGTTAATTTAATAAATTTTAAGAAAATATTCATAAATAACAAATTCTTTTTATTTTCTGTATCTAGTTTAGTCGAATTCATTTAGTTTTAGTTAAAGTTAAACGAAAGAACAATTATAAAATGTTTCTTTTTAAATTCACCCACTCTCTTATTTTTATTTTCGTATTCGAATCCCATAACGTAACCAACGCAGAGAATAAACAGTGAAATGTTGTTTTGACGAATTTATGATAAAAATCGAACAAAAAATACTCTAAAACTCTTTTACTCAACAAATAAAAGAAATCAATGAGTGTAAACAGGCTTTTTTTTGTCCAGAATGTATTTTAATGAATTGAAGCACGTAGAATAACATATGAGAGAATAGTCGATTCTCATGATTAATATCCATGCAGATAGATAAACGATAGAATATTGTTATAATGCATTAAATGTGAAAATTTTATGGATGCTATTACATAAAAGTAATTATTGGAAATAGATTAGTTTTCTTTTTATTGTATTATTTCAAAGTAGAAAAAATTTAAGAAATAAAATTATATTTTAAGAAAACTCGCAAGCTGACATTACTTTTTGAGTATTTCGAATGTATAAAATATATAATAGTTTATTTTCAACAAAAATACAGCGACATAATTGATCTATTCCAACTTAAATTATCTTTTTTAAGATGATTTATTTGTAATTTCTGTTTTAATTCACTTTGAATTAGTCGATGTTAATTCCGGTCAAAGTGACACTATAGTAGATATATTTGGAAACAAATTAAATAGGAAATATGATGCAGAACTAATATTTCTTTAATTTTAAGATATATATCAATGAATTATCAGTCACAAATTTATAAACTAAAATCTAAATAAATTCATATAGAACAGATTAAAACAAATAGTAGAGTGCTAAGAAAAAAAATGTTTCAATGAACCATATTCACAATTCGTTTGTTGGCCACTATTTCAATAATATCATGGCCAACAAACAATCATTCACTTCTTTTCCTCTTTTCAATTGTTTAATAGGAAAAGAAATGAATAATTCTGTGTTGACCAGAACATAGCTAAAAACCAGTGGCCAACAAGCGAATTGTGAATATGGCTCATTGAAATTATTCTAAAAATCGTATATATATATATATATTTCAATCTTCTATTTCACAATATTTAAGAAGATATATCTTTATTCAATGATGCCAATAGATGTCATTTAATCATAAATGTGTTCCTATTAGTCAACATCGATCATTGTCTCAACTGTTCATTGTTTCTTTTTTTCCTTGTTTCATTTTCTCATTTGTATTACAATCAGGAAGCGACAGGTATTTATTCATTGCTTTATCATCTATTACATGGATCGTAATAATGAAAAAATAAATAAAATTCTGTGCGTGACTCTGATTCAATTGATTTTAGTTTTTTTCTAACAAAAGATGAGTTTTGAGTATTTATTCATGATAAAAAAGATTTCACAAATATTACAATAGATACACTTTTGACTTTCACACAACAATTAAGCTATTTTTTGATTTTCATATATAAAAATCATCTCTACTATATAAAAGATATTGATGAATAATAAAATGAGAGTAATGAACGATTAGTTAGTTGTCACATTTATTAAACTTCATATTGTCCTCATTTTTCTACGCGAATATTAAATCTATTACTTAAAAAAAAAAGTGAAATATGTTGTAATTAAGAAAGGTTTTTTTTTTTTATTCCGAAACTAAAAATAGATTCTTTTTAATACGAAAATAAGAAGTGATAGTATGAAGCAATGTTTGTGAATTCCATCTTTCTACAATATTCAAATAGTTCGCAAATCTCATGCGCTTTTGATTATAAGAACTTACTGAAAAAACATATGATTATATTTTAAGTAACGTATGTCAACAAGGTTTTGGCACAAAATATTCGTCTATTTTTACATCACTAATAAACGACTCCAGAGAGCAATAACACTGTTAGAATCAGAATTTGATGTTCTTTCCGAATATGTATTTAACATTTCCTTTCTATGAAAACTTAGTAAACTATGAGACCATTTTTCTAAAGAGCTCAAAATGATGCTTGGACAAAGTTTTATTTCATCTCATTTTATATTCTAACTCAAACGCGTTTAAAACAGAACGAGACACACGTTCCAACTATTCAGTTTTGTATCGCTTTATATGAAAAGTGACTTTCGGAAAGTGAATCACAAGTTATTAGTGATTCGAGATTTCGATTATCTTGTAGAGAATTGAATGGTCTATAAGATGCCTCGTCCAAAACGGTTCTAAGACCAAAATCAAGCAAGTTAAGAATTGCAGGAAAACTCTATTTTTCTGTATCCAAACGTTATTTTGAGCTCTTTAGAAAAATTGATCTCATAGTTTACTAAGCTTTCATAGAAAGGAAATGTTGGATTCATATTCAAAAAGAGCATTAAATTTCGATTCTAACAGAGTGTTTTTGCTTCCAGGAGTCATTTTTAAGTGACGTAAAAATGAACAAATATATTGTGGCAAGACGTTCTTGATTTTACGTTAAGTGGAAAGTAAATTTAGTAATTTTTTTTTTGTAGCATTGAATTATGATCTCTGTGAATATTTTCTGTAAAATTGAAAATAAATCAGATTTAATCGATTTTTAGTCATTTCTATTTACTGTATAATTGGTCGTATGTAAAATGAGAAATCTGTATAATATTAATTAATAGAATTCATCTATGAAATTATCAATAAAGTAAAACGGTTTAAAACGAAATACTTAAGGAAAAAATAATAAAATTTGCTTTCATCAATACAAGAATATACGAAATATATTTCTATGTTCGTAATAATGTCTTATAACTATAGAGTCTGATGTTTATACAGTGTATTTGAATGCTTCCGTTGTTATAAGAAAAAAAGGTTTTATATTGTAAGTTAAAAAAGATTAGATATATTTGAATCGAATTAAAGTTCTTTGAGTCAAGCTAACAGATATAAAATATGAACTGTTCTTGACATGCAAAAATCGAGATAATTGAGTTTTTAAGATATGTTTATTATGTATATGGTGTTCATAATTCTAAACTTCAGAACACTTTTCTTTTGTCGTGTTGTTTGGATATACATAGTCGAACTGTATGATTAAAATATGTTTTAAATTTTAAAAAAGAATATTAGAAAGATCAGAATTTTGAGTCTTTTTTTTTCTCTTATATTTGGAATAGTAGTATTGTAAATTTCTTTTTAGAAGAATTTTTTTTTCTGATACGACTGTTTGTGCTTTATTCAATTATAACATGACAAATAATTAATGTTAATATCTCCAATAGTGAATACAGAACATATTTTAAACATTCCTTGATAATTGAATATCTCAGTCTCAATCGGTTTATATAAAAAATATCCTTTATTTTTTTAGTTTAAAAGTAACAGGTTTAATTCGATTCGAATATATCTAATATTTTCTTACAATACAATGCTTTCCATCACAATTCATTAAACATTGTAAATTTCAATAAATATTTAAATTTTTGTGTTTTAATATATTTATTTTTATTAATCTATTTCAATGTTTTTTTTTCCAGTCGTTCAAACGATATTAAAGTTAAATTTATATAACTTGTAAAAACGTTAAGATTCGAACATTCGTTAAAATTTCGTTGTATATAAGATTGAACTTTTTTTTGTTTTTCTAGATTATTAATATAATAATGACAATGAATAAGACAACATTCGAATCATTAGCAAATGAAATATTTTTTGATTTATTTGAATTATTTAATGGAATTGATCTTTTTCGAGCTCTTCATGGTCTCAATACTCGTTTTAAGTCTTTATTATTGATTTATTTTCGAAATAATCGTATTGATTTACGTTCAATATTAAAAAAAGATTTTGATTTTTTCTGTAAAAATTATCTTCCATCTATATTAAATAATACAATTTATTTACGAATATCTAACGATGAAGACACACCATTTCAGTGTACGCATTTTCTATCAGCTGGTTTTACATTAGATCAATTTATTAATCTTCGTTCTCTAACATTTTATTGTATTAATTCAGATCAAAAAATTAATGAATCATTTTTTTTTAATATAAATCGTCTTGATCAATTGACAAATCTTAAATTTGTTGAGTGTCAATTGTTTAATATCAACATAGAAAATTTTGACAATATAATTAATCAAATTTGGAATCTACCAAAATTAACTCATTTATATTGGGATTGTAAATTTAACCTTAATGTTATTTCTATTCCTACTGTTGTATCAAAATCTTTGCAATATTTAACTGTTTGTAGACCATATTGGGATTCATCGGAACTTGTTGATTTCTTTGAAAAAACACCTAACTTAAAAATATTCTCAACATCATTAGATAC